GTGGCGACAATGTGTTCAGTTTATAGGTTCATGTCGCTTCTTTCTGCAGTAGCAATTTATCTCTATCGCCTCTTGTCTGTGACATGTAACAAACAAATCCCCATAGCTCTTATTTCCTCAACTTTTCAATGATGATACTGCTACTGTTCCGCTGTAGGATTTTGAAGCTTGTTTTTTTTTTTTTTTTAATATCTCTTATATGTTCGAATACACCTACTTTTAATGGTCTCTTTGCTTTTCCGATGTACATTAAATTTGACTCTTAAACTCTTAAAGTGACATTAAAGTCTAAGGGTTTTTTTCCCCTGTTTTAATTCTGCTTTTATCACATTACTTACCTTATGTGATACTTCTTGATGCCATCATCTTCTTCCTTCCAGTCATTTCCAACAGTCCCTCCAGCACTAGTGGCGCTCTCTGATCAAATGCAGATTCCTATGTCTTATGTGTACCACGGAGTCTGTCTGGCAAGCATGCTCCCGGCTGCATGCATTTACTTCTACTGTGCCTCTCTTCCTCTCCCCTTCGGTGATATGGACCGTGAATGCGCCCGCACACATCCTCCTCCTGCACAGCGTTTCGAAAGCTGTGTTCTGCAGCCATGAACGAGTGGTTCAGACACACGAAAGTAATTACATATTTGGCCAATTCTTTATTTTTTTTAAGTAGTGGCATATATGTACTGCTTGCTAAAAAAATCGAGACTTTAATTCTACCTTAACCACTTGCTGACTGGGGTGTTAAACCCCCCTCCTACCAAAGCCATTTTTCAGTATTCAGCGCTGCGGTACTTTGACTGACATTTACCCATACAATAAACGTATGAGTAATACAATGTCATACAATGCTGTACTGAAATTAATTTTTTGGGGGACTCATAGAGCTTTCTTTTGGTGGTATTTAATCACCACTGGGGTTTTCATTTTTTACTATATAGTGAAAAAAGAACCAAAAAGTTTGAAAAAAAAACATTTCCCTATGTGATGTTATAAAACATTTATTATCACCCAGTTTTTTGGCAAAATAGAAAAGACTGGTTCACGTCGGGTAAATCGACACCAAACATGTCCGCAAAATTGCAAAAAAACTAGCATGCCTAACATTGGCCATAGGTGACATTTAAATGCTTTCACTGCTCAAATTTAGTGTTATCAGTGATTAATGGCCCTTGAACTATTGCTCACACTCCGACGTTCGGCGGTGATATGTAACATGTGTGGCGCAATTGTTGTTTTCACAGTTATGCACAGCCAAAACGTATTTACGTTTATTTACAGGTGCACGTGGGGGTGGGGACTTAAAACTTTTTTGGCTTTTTATTATTTTTAATATGAGACTAATTTTTATTTGTAAACGGTTTTTGAAAAACTTTTTTTTTTACACTTAACTTGATTGCCATCACATAGGGGGCTAAAAATCCCCCTATATGATAACCAATATACAATGACAGGTCCTCTTTACGGAGACATCAGGTCCCCAAGACCCCTAATGTCACCTTGGGACCCCCAAAGAAGCTGATCTGCTTCACCAGCTTTTTCTCTGGCTAGTAGCTAGAGAAATGACAGCTAAAGGCAGAAGTAATGTAATACACATCGCTTCCACCTTTAGAGAGAGAAGAAGGATAGATCAGTGGCGGGGGAAATGCTGATCTCTCCTCCTCTCTACTACCGTAGTAGCCGCTGTGCGTGTGTTCTCGGTCCTGGGCACCACAGGGGAAACCTGCACAGTGCAGGGTCATACAAGCAAAAAGGCGGCTGTAGAGCCGGACGAACGCTTGTATGTATCAGCCGGTAATGGCTGTTTACCTTCCCTAGCGTGCGCCAGCAGAGAAGAAAAGCACATAAATGTACGTCCACCCGCCGGGAAGCATCTGCCGTCCGCCCGTATTTTTACGATGGGTGGCTGACAAGAGGATAAATCCTACAGACCAACTGTGTGGTTTCAAAAAAATTTTTATACTCTTACACAGAATGTTTTCCTCAAACGTTTATCCTTTTTGACAAAATTAACAATAGTTGCATCTTCACATCTCCCATACTTGTTAATTAAGCCAAATCTCTCTACAGTAGGGAATGCACTCGCTACAGACCAGTTAGTCCTTTAACAATGAGGCATATCTAGCACTTAAAAAAAAAGGGAATGAGCCCAATGTCTGTTTGAAATCTATGGTAAGCAAATGCCAATGCCTCTTCAACAAAGCTTGCAACTGTCCCCAAAAGCAAACGTACAGTGTAATTAATTTGGTTTAGTTGTCAATTCTTTTTTTTCAGTCCCAATTGGTTTTCTATCATTGTTCCTCTTGCTCTTTTCACTCATGCTCTCATCAACGTATGACTGTAACCTTTCTTTTGTAAATCTAACTTTTAACTCTTCTGTTTCCTTTTCAGTTAATTCTTTATCAGTACAATTTTGATCTATATGTAAAAACTGATCTATTGGAAAAACCCTCTCTTGTCATCAGGGGTTAATGGCTGGTTACATGGAGGAGCATATTTTTCTGCTTTTGGTTTTTGAACTGTCAAGGTACCTATCACCAAGCCTTAATTTTTTTAATCTGAAAATTTCAGCTTTATTACGTTTATTTATGTTAAAAGAGATGTTGCACAAATTTTGATTACATTTTTCAAAAAATGTCAATGGCATACCAGCCTTAAGGGAAATGCGGCTGCTATAGGTGAAGCCATACTGTCATCACACTATTTTCACAGAACAGGATGCAAGCCATTCCATTCCCTGTGGGAAATCCTCTTTTAGACAGTTATCACCGGAACAAGTGTCCCCATTGGATGATTAATTCACTATGCCTGTTCTGGTGGAGCTCAAAATTCTGGATATACCCTCATCTGGTGACACTGGTGATCAGGATAAGTAGATAGTAAATCTCCCTAAGGGAAACACAGACTACAATAAAAACGGGACATTGGTTCTAACCCTTCACCATCCTCATTCATGTTATATTGTCTTCCATTACCTACAAATGGTCCATAGATTTGCACTTTTAGATGTCTAGTAATTTAAAGTGGACTTGAGAAGCTATATATGCAACATACGCAACTTGCAAATTAACAAGGCTATAACTGTATACAGGAAATGTGTATATACTGAAACCAAGTTGTCTGCAATTTTTTAAACTGAAGAGGAATCTATCTTAGGACGCTTTTTCTATTTGTATAAAATAGCTGACGGCATAAAAGCAGTTAACCCCTACAGTTATGGGTGAAATAACATAAAATATTGTATGTAGATGTTTGAAATCAACAAGGGATTGACATATTAGGAGGGGATTAAGGAAATACACATAAGACATGAGTGCCAGCAAAAAATTAATTTAGTTGTGTATTGTTTTGCTTTTGATGTTTCCTTATTTCGTTTTTCGGGATTCAGGTCTGAAAGTCAATTCGTTTCGGTAATCGTTTTCAGATAAATCCGAATGTTTCGTTAATTTTGGATAAATGGAGTTAAATAAGAATTACAAATGAAAATCCGTTGCAGAAAAGTGACTTTAAATTTATACTTTGTTCCCCCCTGGAAAGCACCCTCCCAATGCTGAGGGCATGTGGCCTGGTATGGTGCAGGGAGGGAGGGGACATTTTTTCGGTGTTGGGGTCCCCTACCAGACCTAAAGTGCCTGGTATTAATTGACGGAGGAACCGCATGCTGGGGTTTTTTTTTGTACATCGGGGTCTCCCTAAAATTCCTACTAGACCTTAAAGGGTCTGTTATGAATAGAGGAGGGGAACCCAACGCTGTTTTTTTTATTATTGATTATTTTATTCATTAAACACTTTTCTGCATTCTGAGACAGCTGTCAACTTCTTTGCTTACATTGGGGATGCAGACGGGGATTCAGGATACAGCTGAGAACTGTTACAGAATAACACACAGATCTCAGCTTCTTTCTTTGTTTATGGTCTATAATATATTTCTGATACTTAATTAACATTTCGGGATATGTCCGTAATGTCAGTAAAATGCAGAGAAGCTGGAGAGCTGTAAATGACACATACATAGCGCTTCTCTGTTTTGTTCGGTAATGACATTCATATGTATCCAAATTTCGCTATCAAACATTCAGATTCCTTATTTCTGTCTATCGGAACTTTGGATGCTTCCGAATATCCGAATTTGCAAAAATTCGTACGGGCGTCAATTCGGAACGAAACGCATCGCACGTCTAAAACACATCATTCATGACATTGCCAAAGAAATTGGACTGTTAATTAGAAATGCACAATGGATTAGTACCATTCATTAAAATGTAAGTATGCATGGGAATTTAGTTTAGTTCGATTTTTTAAAATATTTTGTGTCACAATGGTGTTGTAGTGTATGTGGTTTACAACCATTTGTGTCTGAAGAATCCCCTCTATTTTTTATGTTAAGTTTTGTAATATTTTCCTTTGGTATAATTCAGATAACAGCAGAGTACCGTGTCTCTAACTTTTTGTTGTTGTTAGGATGTTGTTATTGTATATTTAGTATCCACTAAATGTATAGGTAAATCTATCTAATACACAAATTCATGTATGCTACTTCTTGTATACTTTGCAGTTTATCAGATTACATGCTGCTTGTTCATTTTGCTGTCATTTCTAACAAGTAGGAAGGAAAATTATAAAGTAGAAATCTGAGTAGAAAAGCCAGATAAAATGGTATGCTGTTTCCCTTGAGGCAAGGTACTGTAGCTGTGCTTTACCTCCACTATGGCCAATAGAAGGCCTTTTAGTCCATGATTTCATTAACAGAAATGTGCAGAAGGCCAGAAATGGCTGACTCTGCACTATGAGGAGGTGCCAAAGCTATGCCATGTCAGAACAGTCCAACATTTGGCCTTAACTGTATGCTTTTGGAGGCTGATGCAGGTATTTTTAGGTGGCTGCACTTCATACCTACAGCAGTTTTTAGGTTCTGTTCTAGAGTTAGAATCTCATTAATACATACTAATATTAAATAGCTGAATAAGAATAACTTTGAAAAACAGTTAAGATCAAACACAGTACCTTGGTTGGATCATCCTTCATAGCTGTCCAGCGCCCTTTTTTGGGCCGCCTTATTACAGCCGTGCTGCTGTAGTGGTCCATGTGGCTGCCTATAGGCAAAGTTGGGGCCTGGGAATAACGCAGCTCTAGCGCACTGCCAGGGAGAGACCTGAAAATGGAAGATCCCGAAAACATAGTTAGCATAATTGCATTATCTGCAAATGTAACAAAGTTATGTCTGTATACATTTATCCTCGTTTTTGATTAACAGACACATGCAGAACATGATGCACATGCTTCAATTAATCTGTAACTCTTTATGTTACTACAAAAGCTAAAATGACAGACAAGAGCTACACCATTTTGGGTCTCTGGTTGTGACCTTCATTCCTGCAGTCTTAATGCCTTTATAATGCCAATCTGTGAATACAAATTTTAATAGGCTCTACTGCAAAGGAGGTGATATTTTTAGCTTTATCAAAATACTATGCACTTGAAAGCATAAAGCTGCAGGAACAAAATGACAGATAGCGAAAGACAACAGGATGCAGAGTTTACGGAGGTCATCGAACTCTATACAAAAGTAACAACCTATGCTACTTAATGAGACAAAAAATGCAATTTTTATAAACATTCCGGACACATACAGTTCATGTAAGGATCACCACTATCTGTGCCAAAAACAAGACCTTAGGACTGATTTATAAAAACTGGGCCAATGAACGCTAAAACAAAAACTGATTAATCAGTGATCACTATTTCCTTGCTTGAGAGATGAAATCTGACTGATTGCTATGGGCAACAGCCCTTTTGCTGCTCCAGTTTCCATTAATCAGCCCCACTGCATGTGGTGAGGTGCAATACATAAAAATGAGACACCAGGACAAACAAGCCACAGACTGAGAGATTTGTGCTCTGATTTCAATACACAAGTTACTTATTTGTGTTGTCTACATGACTGAAATAAACATCATCTGCCAAGTCAAACATTGGAAAATACTCTGTACACACTTACAATGTGAATAGATGAAGCAGAAACTTGTGGAGAGCAGGAGTACAAGGGAAAAGAAAGTGTGCAGCAATGAATAGAAGAGTATTCAATACATGATAAAAAAGAAAAAAGAAATAAATAAGAAAACGATTGTATCCTTAGTTGAAATCTATTCTCTCACAGCTTGGGTTCAGCGCCATTAGCAACTAAAATGTAGTACTGTGACTTCCGCATTCACCATAAAATTGTTTTCTCCAGTAGCTCTTTAGGAGACACAGTCTTCAACATCTGGATATAGTGCCTTCCTCTAGGTAGTTGAACACAAGGCAAAACCAAAGGCAGAGCCCCATGTAGTGGGTACACCCAGGGCCGATGCAAGGATTTTTGCCTACAGAGGCGAAGGTGCATTTTTCCTCCCCCAGCGGCGCCCCAGGGTGCCTGCCTATGCAGTTTTATGGTAGCGCTAGCCCTGCATAGACATCCCATAAAGCAGCACTCCAAAACTAATAGGAGATCTGAGATATCCATGTTAGCGGTCAAACCAATTACAGTATCTCAGAAGCATTTATAAAAAAGGAAGACCATCAGCTACTAGTGCCCTATATGTGGGGCCACAATCAATGACTCCCCAAATAGTTTACTGTGGAGCACCCTAAAGTGCACCACTCCAGAAAGCATAACTGATGTTCATGTTACAGTTCACACTGAACTTATCCAGCATTTGGGGTAAAAATGACCATCATCTACTGAAGCCCTATATGTAATGCCACAGGCATTGACACCCCACGTTCATTACCATGGAGCACCCCAATACAAGGACACCTCCCCATAGATCTTCACTAAAGAAAGCATAACAGCAGATAATAAGTGACTTTAAACTGATGTTTAACTGCTTCAGGACTTCCTAACATAGATAAACAGCGGTCCTGAAGCAGATTTACCAAGATCACAGCTGTTGCAGCCATTTAAAAACAGCAGGTAATGACTATTTCATATACAAGTGATCTTGCCAGGCACAGCAGGTCTATCCTCTTCAATTGGAGGTAGATCAGCACACTCCCATCATCGGACCTGGATGTTATGTGTATTACATCACTTCTGATGCCACTCTGTAACTGCTATTCACATTTCATGCTTTTTTGCTTGCAAATTCATCAACTGTAGAATCGACCAATACAAACACCTGCAAACACATTTTATATACAATATATAGCAACAATCATGTGTCCTGATAAATCCTGTGACATCCATTGTGGCTACTGATAGGTTGATGGTGGTGTAATAAAATGTTAGGAGGCTTTATACTGACTGCCAATGTAATAGAGGTATTCTTACAGACTGCAAATGTAATAAAGGTATTCCCACTGACCGCCAATGTAAGGGAGGTATTCTCACTGACCGCCAATGTAAGGGAGGTATTCTCACTGACCGCCAATGTAAGGGAGGTATTCTCACTGACCGCCAATGTAAGGGAGGTATTCTCACTGACCGCCAATGTAAGGGAGGTATTCTCACTGACCGCCAATTTAAGGGAGGTATTCTCACTGACCGCCAATTTAAGGGAGGTATTCTCACTGACCGCCAATTTAAGGGAGGTATTCTCACTGACCGCCAATGTAAGAGAGGTATTCTCACTGACCGCCAATTTAAGGGAGGTATTCTCACTGACCGCCAATGTAAGGGAGGTATTCTCACTGACCGCCAATGTAAGAGAGGTATTCTCACTGACCGCCAATGTAAGGGAGGTATTCTCACTGACCGCCAATGTAAGGTAGGAATTCTCACTGGCCGTCAATGTAACAGAGGTATTCTCACTGAACACCAATGTAATGGAGCTTTTCTCACTGACCGCCAATGTAACAGAGTTATTCTCACTGAGCACCAATGTAACAGAGCTGTTCTCACTGACTACCAATGTAACTGAGTTATTCTCAGAGTGAACAGGTGGCGGGGCTCAGACTATAGAAGCCGAAGCCCAGAACCCGTCCATGCCTCTGCTTCTGTGTATGAAAGGCAGTGTTTTTCCACCCCCCAGCGCCCTCAGGCGGCTGCTGGTGCTGCCTTACGGTAGCGCCGGCTCTGGCTATATCTCTACATGAACTGAACAAGCTCAGAGCTAGCAGGCAGTGAAATAAAAAGGCAGTAGGGAAAGGGTGGTCCCAAACATAGGGGTGGGAAAAAATATGCCAAAGGCAACCCCAAAAGAAAACCTAGTGGTCAACTAAGTCTGTATTTGTTCCAAGCATGTTTAAATTCACTTACTGTTGACTTACTCACTACCTCTGCTGGAAGTCTGTCCCAAGCATTTACTATTCTTTCAGTAAAATATTGCTTTCCAAGGTTAGTTTTGAACTTTCCTCATCCTAGTTTGTGCCCCCAGAGACAGCACCGCTCCGCACGTGCGCCCACAGAGACAGCTCCGCTCCGCATGTGCCCCCACAGACACAGCGCACCCATGTGACCTTGCAGATGCAGCGCCCCACTGGTGACGGCAGTTCTTCTGGAGCCCGCCCCCAGCAGTTCTCCTGAGTGACCCTCGCAGAGAGACAGCACTTCTCCTGAGTGACCCTCACACAGTCGCAGCACTTCTCCTGAGTGACCCCTGCAAAGCCGCAGCCCTTATGGAGCCCGCACCTGCTTGCCATACCCTCCTGAGAGCAGGTAAACTTTTATTATTTACTGCGGCTGCCTATTCTATTGTTGGTGTATGGCACAGTCACAGTTTATTTGTGGTCCTATATAGAGTTGTGGTCCTCTATAGAGTTGTGGTCCTCTATAGCTGGTTGCCATTCTCCACTGCAACCATATAATCAGGGATTGATGGAACTTGTAGTCCTCTATTGCTGGTTACCACATTCCATTGCTGAATATTCATGGATTGCTGAGATTTGTGGTCCTCTATAGCCGGTTGCCATTCTCCAGGATGACTATCAGCCAGAATGTTTTTCAAGAGGAAGACATGGCAGTAAGGTAAAAGCAGGCAGCCCGCACAAAATGAGTGAAGAACGATTTCTTAAGGATATGAGGGAAGTGGACAAAGGGATGGTAACACATTGTCCCAATTAAGGTGAAAGGAGCATACAACCTTAGGCAAAAAGGATGTCCTGGATAATCCTATCCGTGTGAGGAATGAGAAAGGAAAGAGAGTTGCCAGCTTCAAAACACTCCTAGCAGAGGTAATGACAATGAGGAAACAACCTTTTGGGATATACAGTACTCATAACAGTTACATTGTGTAGCAGATCAAAGAGAATATCCTGAAGCACGAAAAGCACCATATTAAGCTCTCATGAAACCATTTGGGTGACGCCTTGAACAAAGCTGTAAATTAGAAAAAAAGAGGCAGAGGGTTGCTGAAACAAGATGACTAGATCCAGCTGGAGAAAGCTGGGAATCAATGTGACCAGAAAAACCCTAGAAATAACACTGAGACCCTCACACTACCAAAAGAGACTTTTCAGGAGCAGTGATGCACCCAGCCAAAGAAGACTTATAAGTCCATATCATGAAGTGGATTGCTTCTTTTGAGAGACCCACTCTCTTAAAACCTTAGCTTTAATAGCCATGCAATTAAAGCTAGTGGCTGTGAAGCAGGATTGAAAGTCATTCATTGGGACACAAGATCTGGTCAAACAGAATGGGGCCATAGGGCATATGTGACAAGAGCAACTAGGTCAGACTACCAGGGTCTTTATGACCAATTTGGAGCTGTTAGAATAACAGGACTCTGTTCTGACTTGGTGTTCTGCAGAAGGATCAGAAAACGTTTTAGTATGGGGAATGCACAGAGTAGTGCATAATGCACGGCACCCATGAAGCAAATAAATCTGCAGCTGCATTTGCCAGAGGATTTATTGTTCCAGCTGTGGAACACTTAGATTTTCATGAGATACCTGCAGATCCATATCCAGTTCACTTCTTGTTCATTCTTGATAGTGTATGTACACTACTGCTGTAGTGTTGTAAAACTGTATCCTCACCAGAAGACCTGTCTATTGGAGAAGAGACAAATCTACAAGATTTTGTTTGTCAGTTTGGACTCTTGCACAAAAAGGGAGCCAAGAGTTTAATCCCGGTCAGAGAGACTCGCATTCATTGTGGGCATCTTTCAGTGAAGAGGCAGAAAGGATTGGTCCTTTAACATTGGTCACCAAAGCCACTATAATAGAGACATCGGG